AGGGCCAGGACGAGAACCAGAACCAGGACCAGAGCAAGGACCAGAACCAGAGCCAGGACAAGGACCAGGGCAAGAACCAGAACCATGAACAGAACCAGTACTGCTAGTACCAGAACCAGTACTAGTACCAGGGCGAGGACCAAGACCAGAATCAGGACCAGAACAAAAAGCCAGAACTAGTACCAGTTCCTGGACCAGAACCGGGACCAGGAGACAGAACCAGGATCAGGACAAGAACCTTTACCATAGAAATAAGATCAGGAAAAGAACCAGGAACGAAACAGGACCAGAAACAGGACCAGAACCAAGACAAGGACCAGGACCAGAAAAAGGACCAGAACCAGGACCAGAACCAGGACCAGAGCCAGGACAAGTACAAGGACCAAGACCAGAGCCAGATCCAGAACCAGGAAAGGAAATAGGACTAGAACCAGGACCAGATTCAGGACAAAGACCAGGACCGGAACCAGGACCAGAACCAGGACAAGATCAGGACCAGAACCAGAACCTGGACCAGGAAAAGAACCAGTACCAGGCCCAGGACGAGAACCAGAACAAGAACCAGAGACAGGAGCAGGACCAGAACAAGGACCAGAACCAGGTCCAGAACCAGTAGCAGGACCAGGACCAGACCCAGGAAGAGAATCAGGACTAGAACCAGAAGCAGTACTAGTACCAGAACCAGTACTAGTACCAGGACCAGAACCGGGACCAGGAAAGAAACAGGGCCAGAACCAGAATCAAGACCAGGATCAGAACCAGGAATAGAACCAGTACTAGTATCAGGACCAGAACCAGGATCAGAATCGGGACCAGAGCCAGGACCAGAACCCGGACCAGAACCAAGATCAAAACCAGTACTAGTACCAGAACCAATAATAGTATCAGGGCCAGGACACAGAACCAGGACCAGAGCCAGTACTAGTACCAGAACCAGCACTGATATCAGGGCCAGGACCAGTAGCAGCACCAGGAACAGGACCAGGGAGAGGACCAGGAAAAGAAACAAGACCAGGACCACTACCAGAACCATAAAAAGGACCAAGACCAGAACCAGAATCAGAACCAGAACCATAAACAGATCTAGGACCAGGACCAAACCCAGGAATAGGACAAGGACCAGGACCACAACCGGGACCACAACCAAAACCAAGACCATAACCAGAAATTGGACCACGGCCAGGAACAGGACCAGAGCCAGAACCAGGAACAAGACCTGAGCCAGGATCAGGACCAGGACAAATTCCAGGAGCAGGACCAGAACAAGAACCATAACCAGTACCAGGACCAGGACGAGAACCAGAACAAAAACTAGAGCCAGGAGCAGGACCAGAACCACGGCCAGAGCCAGAACCAGGACCAGATCCAGTAGCAGGACCAGGACCAGAACCAGGACCAGAACCAGTTCCAGAATCAGCACCAGGACCAGGACGAGAATCAAGACCAGAGCCAGTACTAGTACCAGAACAAGCACTAATATCAGGGCCAGGACCAGAAACAGATCTAGGACCAGGACCAAAACCAGGAATAGGACAAGGACCAGGACTACAACCAAAGCCAAGACCATAACCAGAAATAGGACCAGGACACGAACCAGATCCAGAACCAGGAAATGAACCAGGACAAGGACAAGGACCAGGACCATAGCCAGAACCAGGACCAAAACTAAGACCAGAACAAGGACCAGAGCCAGGACCAGAACCAGGACACGAAATAGGACCAGAAGCAGGACCAGAAGCAGGACCAGGAGACAGAATCAAGACCAGAACCAGAGCCAGGAGCAGGACCAGGGCAAGAAATGTGACCAGAACCAGGAACAGAACCAGTACTAGTGCCAGGGCCAGAACCAAGAACAGGACCAGAACCAGGACCAGGAGACAGAACCAGGACCAGAACGAGGATCAGAATCGGGACCAGAGCCAGGACCAGAACCAGGATCAAAACCAGTACTAGTACCAGAACCAATAATAGTATCAGGGCCAGGACACGAACCAGGACACAGAACCAGTACCAGAGCCAGTACTAGTACCAGAGCCAGCACTAATATCAGGGCCAGGACCAGAACCAGAACCAGGAACAGGAACAGGAACAGGACCAGGGACAGAACCAGGAAAAGAACCAAGTCCTTGACAACTACCAGAACCATAAAAAGGACCAAGACCGGAACCAGAATCAGAACCAGGACCATAAACAGATCTAGGACCAGGACCAAAACCAGGAATAGGACAAGGACCAGGACCACAACCAGGACCACAACCAAAACCATGACCCTAACCAGAAATTGGACCAGGACCAGAACCAGATCCAGAACCAGGACCTGAACCCAGACAAAGACCAGGACCAAAGCCAGAACCAGGACCAAAACTAAGACCAGAACCAGGAACAGAACAAGGACCAGGACCAGAACAAGGACCAGAGCCAAGACCAGAACCAGGACACGAAATAGGACCAGAACCATGAACAGAACCAGTACTAGTATCAGGGCCAGGACCAAGAGCAGAAAAAGGACCAGGAGACAGAATCAGGACCTGGAGACAGAATCAAGACCAGAACCAGAGCCAGGAACAGGACCAGGACAAGAAATGGGACTAGAACCAGGACCAGGAACAGAACCAGTACTAGTGCCAGGGCCAGAACCAAGACCAGGACCAGGAGACAGAACCAGAGAGAGGAGCAGGAGAAGAAACATAACCAGTACCACAACCAAGATCAGGAACAGGACAAGGACCAAAACCAGAACCAGAACAAGGACCAGGACCAGTACCATGACCAGAACAAGGACCAGGACCAGTACCATGACCAGAACCAGAAATAGGACCAGAACCAGTACCAGGAAAGAACCAGAAACAGCACCAAAACCAGAACCAGGACCGGGATCTAGACCAAGACCAAGAACAAGAACAGAACCAGTACTAGTACCAGAACCAGTACTAGTATCAGGGCCAGGACCAGGAGGAGAGCCAGGACCAGAGCCAGGACCAGAACCACAACCAGGACCAGAGCCAGGACCAGAACCAGAGCCAAGACAAGGACCAGGACCAGAACCAGGGCAAGAACCAAAACCATGAACAGAACCAGTACTAGTACCAGGGCATGAACCAAGACCAGGACCAGGAACCAGAGCTAGGAGCGGGACCAGAGCAAGGAGCAGGACCAGAACCAGGACCAAAACCAGAACCAGTACTAGTATCAGGGCCAGGACCAGAACCAGGACCAGGAGACAGAACCAGGACAAGTCCAGTACCATGACAAGAACCAGAAATAAGTTCAGGATCAGGAACAGAACCAGGAAAGAAAAAGGACCAGAACCAGAATCAAGACCAAGACCAGGACCAGAACAAGGAAAGAAACAGGACCAGAACCAGAATCAGGACCAAGACCAGGACCAGGACCAGAACCAGAAACAGGACAAGAACCAGGAACAGAACCAGTACTAGTATCAGGACCAGAACCAGGATCAGATAGGGACCAGAACCTTGATCAGAAGCAGTACTAGTACCAGAACCAGTACTAGTACCAGGGCCAGGACCAGGACCAGAACCAGTACCAGTACCAGTACGAGAACAAATACTAGTATCAGGGCCACGACCCGAACCGGGACACAGAACCAGGACCAGAACCAGTACTAGTACCAGAACCAGCACTAAAACCAGGTCCAGGACCAGAACCAGGAACAGGACCAGGAAGAGAACCAAGACCAGGACCAGTACCAGAATAAAAAAAAGGACCAAGACCAGTACCAGAATCAGAACCAGGACCATAAACAGATCTAGGACCAGGACCAAAACCAGAAATAGGACCAGGACATGGACCAGAACCAGAAAAAGAACCAGAACCAGGACCATAACCAGAAATTGGACCAGGACCATAACCAGATCCAGAACCAGGACCTGAACCAGGACAAGGACCAGGACCAAAGCCAGAACCAGGACCATAACTAAGACCAGAACCAGGACCAGAACAAGGACCAGGACCATTACAAGGACCAGAACCAGGACCAGAAATAGGAACAGAACCAGCACCATGACCTTGGACTTGGGGAGTTGATTCTCATCCCAGCAGCTTCACACTCGGCTCTGAACCGCCCCGTTTTTTTCTGTAGGTCATGGCAGGAGGGAGCCAGTAGAACCACCTAATCCACAAAAAGTCAGAGTTATGAGAAAAAGTCAGAATTCTGAAATTAAAATCAAAATTATGACTTGTTCATAGAATTCTGAGAATTATTCTGAGGATTTTGGGATTAAAGTCAAAATTCTAGCTTAGATCAGAGGTCATCTGAGGCAATTGTTATAAAAAGAAAATATTTTTTTTCCTAAAAGAAGATAATTTTTTCACAAATAAAGAAAGTTGTTTAGTTTTTCTGTGTAAAAAGATCATTTTTACTAAAATAAATTGAAGAAATGTGTTTTGTCCTAAATTCAGATATTTTTAGAAAAATATAAACTTTCTCTTTCTAATTTAACTAGATGGTTTAAAAAAAAAGAATAAAAAGATATTTTTTCTCCTAAATGAATGAATAAAAAAATTGTTTTTCTAAATTAAGGAGATTGTGAGGGACCAAGCCAGCCAATCATGAGGACACAGTGGTAATTGTCAAGAAAACTGGGTTTTATTTCCCCAAAGTAACAATAATCCAAACAAAGATTTCAGGGCCCTTAAAAGAGGTCAAATGAAGAGACTAAGTGCAAAAAATATCAACTTCAAACATATCAAACCTAAAACTATCAGAAGAAACATAAACTGACCTAACATACAGCAAATAAAGGGAACTTAAATACTGGCTGATCAGATCAGACTGACACACTGAGGAAGAGGTAGGGAGAATATCTATACCAATTTAACAAAAATAACTAAACAATTTACGGAGCCCCTCTGATGACATGGTCAAAAAAAATTTTTTATTGTGGCAATAAGTATAACGTGCGCACGAAATACTACTTTGTGGCCACGCAATAAGTATAACGTGCGCACGAAATACTACTTTGTGGCCACGCAATAAGTATAACGTGCGCACGAAATACTAATTGATAATATTAATATCATTCCTGGACCAAATCGAGCGCGTCTTCTCTAGAACCTTCTGTAGCCTACGTACGGAGCCCCGTACCTGCGTGATGTCATTAAGGTCAGTGTCTTTGTTTTATTCAATATCTTGTTATCCCACATTTATGCAGTTATTGATTTAGGCCTATGTTTGATACTTTGTTATAGCGGTTAGCCTATCTGTCGACGTGTTGTGCTAATATGTAGCTGTAAACTCATTTGTGTCTGTAGGAGCTGCAGCCCTGCACACACATCAGGATACTTTTCAAGTAGAGCTGAGGGGTGTATACATACTACTAAGCAAGGTATGTTGAGCATAAAACCAGAGTCTTCTGTGTCACGAAGGTGTCTTTCTTTTAACCTGGTTAGATCTCCATGCTAACTTATGCTGCAGACCTAACCTGGTCCGGACCAGATTCTGTTCACAGTTTCAGCTTGAAATCAGCTTAAAAAGTGCCCTTTTCACTGATCATCTCCTTTGAAAGTAGCATCATGTGTGTCAGACTCTCAGCTGAGGTAATACATAGGCTATATGAACCGCAACGTTTAATGATGCCACCGGACGAAGCCGTGCAGTGATCAGAATCTAGTTTTTATTGATTTGCAGGTTGTTGTTGCTCTGACTGAAATACTGAATGTGTCTGTAGTGTTCTCTGGACATTTGTCCTTCAATTAAATCACAGAATATTAAAAGTTCACTATATTATTGATCAGCCTGCCTGACGTTTACATGCAGATGAAATGTGCTATAATTCCTTTAAACCATTATGTTAACACTTTGATGATGTTTTTATGCTTGGTCCTGATTTGCTGAAGTCCGTTTTATACTGCTGGTATATTACAGCTAATAGAACCTTGATTAGAAAATGGGTCAATCCTTTATTACCACAGATAATATCTGATCACTAAAAATCATTCCATTTAGTCTTTTGCCAAAGATTAAAGTGATTTCATAGGACAGTGTCAGAGCTTGAGCATAACGATTAAAAGAACTGCATCAAGTTTAAAGTTTCAGAGCTCTACAATGTGCAGCTGTCACCACAAATAAGGGAGGCACTGAGAGAGCTCAAATAAATATATTAATTTACACTGTAATAAAGTGACTGTATTTTGCAGTAATGGTTTTGCTTTTTGCAGCATAATAATAATAATATCAGGGACATGGGGCAATATGTGATTTGGAATCATAGAATCTGGAAAATCTACTACTTGTTAATTAATTTTGTTTACCTGTGTTTTAGAGGGCAACTATGGATACTCGGCTGCGAGAATTTTTAATGGAGCGCAAACTTGAAGAAGATGTGATCCAGAAACTTGAAGATGAGAATGTAAGCCACTGCAGCTGCTGCCTTTACTTGCCTGGTGTGTGTGTGTGTGTGTGTGTGTGTGTGTGTGTGTGTGCGTCTGTGTGTGCGTCTGTGTGTGTGTGTGTGTTGTGTATTTTTTTCCAAACAGAATTTTAATAATTACTGAAAGTTTGTGTAGAACATGGTCACACCAGAACAGATAGGCTCAATGCACAAAATCAGGTGCACACTATAAAATGTTATATGTTTTAATTTTTTATGTAATCAAGTACATCAACTGTGTTTACAGAATAATTTAAAGTAATTCTTGGTCATCTTAAGTTGGAAAAATATGTGCACCATTACCAAAAGTAAATTGGTCAAAAGTAGTTATCAAAAGTAGGCTGCATAAAATGAAAACTAATGACGTGAATAACTACACCCTTACACCACCAATATAGCTATATTCTTAACTTCCTTTAGATATCCATTGGCATTCTATGTTATGCATTTGTATGTATTAATTTGTTTTTTTATTGACTAATTTATTTATTTATATTTAATTTTTTTCAGATTGATGAAACTGTCATTCCTTTAATGACAGACAGTGACCTGGCAAAGTACATCCCCAAAGTTGGAGATAGAGTCTCCACTGTGGCCTTCTGCAGACAAGCAACACTGTCACAAAAATCACCATCAAGGAAAGAATCCATACTCTCAAGGCTACGACAAAGACTGTCTGGAGCTGAGGCGATGCCTCCAAAAAAGAGATCATCTAAGTGGGCGGAAAATACAAATGCCAAACGGAAAGTGAGACGAATTGAGGTTGGCTGGATGGATTTTGATGAGGAGAAGGAGAGGTACAAACAGGTGAAGTCTGTCAGTGGTGGAGGCACGAGGCATCTGTCTATTGACAAAGACGAAACAGTGGTAAATATCAAACTTATGGCTGAAAATCTTTTTTTCCCCAATGGCCTTTCAAAAAAAAACAAAAGTCTTTCACACTATTCAACTCATATTGAGAGCTCACAGATACATGTTGATGTGTCTCATACAGTAGAAGAGTTGTATAAT